CCTGTGGTCCCAGCTACTTGGGAGGTGGAGGCAAGAGACTCGCTTGAGCCCAGGAGTTGGAGGTTGCTGTGAGTTGTAATGCCACAGCACTCTACCCAGGGGGACAGCTTGAGGCTCTGTCTCAAAAAAAAACAAGGAGGTGGTCAGTGTAGGGAAGTGGTCAACCATGGAGGCTGTAGGGTATATCATAAAGATTGTATAATTAAATCCATATGGTAGTGACCCATGAATAGACAGACCAGTAAAATAAAATAGAAAGTTTGGAAATAGGCACAAATACAGATAACATTAGTATATAATAAAGGGGTCTCTCAAATCACAGAAATAAATATGGGGGGGGTTGTCCGTTTGTTTGTTTGTTTGTTTGTTTGAGATAGAGCCTCAAGCTGTTGCCCTGGGTAGAGTGATGTGGCATCACAGCTCACAGCAACCTCCAACTCCTGGGTTTAAGTAATTCTCTTGCCTCAGCCTCCCAAGTAGCTGGGACGAAAGGTACCCACCACAATACCTGGCTATTTTTTGGTTGTATTTGTCATTGTTGTTTGGCAGGCCTGGGCCAGATTTGATGTATGTGGCTGGCACCTTAGCTGCTTGAGCTACAGGCGCCACCCAAATATGGGGCTATAATAAATGGTACTAGGACAAACGTAGCCATTTGAAACAAGATAAATGAAATGCATGCCTTACACCATACACAGGATAAACTCTAAAAGAATCAGAGACCTAATACACAAATGAAAGCATACAAGTACTACAAGCAAACCTGGACAAATTTCTCTTCAACCTCAGTGTAGTAAAAGGCTTTCTAATGATAGTTAAAAATTCAGATTTCATAAAGGAAAATATTAATAAATTTGACTATATGAAAAATAACAAAAAGTTCTATGTATGGGCAGTGCCTGTGGCTCAAAGGAGTAGGGCACCGGCCCCATATACCAGAGGTGGCAGGTTCAAACCCAGTCCCGGCCAAAAACTGCAAAAAAAGAAAAAAAAATAGAAATTTATATTCTTAGGGCGGCACCTGTGGCTCAGTGAGTAGGGTGCCAGACCCAAATACTGAGGGTGGCGGGTTCAAACCTGACCCCAGCCAAACTGCAACAAAAATTAGCCAGGCATTGTGGCAGGCGCCTGTAGTCCCAGCTACTTGGGACGCTGAGGCAAGAGAATCACTTAAGCCCAGGAGTTGGAGGTTGCTGTGAGCAGTGTGACATGACAGCACTCTACCAAGGGCAATAAAGTGAGACTCTGTCTCTTAAAAAAAAGTTCTCTGGGCTTGGCACCTGTGGCTAAAGCGGCTAAGGCGCCAGCCACACACACCTAAGGTGGCGGGTTCGAATCCCCAGCCCGGGCTCGCCAAACAACAAGGATGACTGCAACCAAAAAACGGCCAGGCGTTGTGGCAGGCGCCTGTGGTCCCAGCTACTTGGGAGGCAGAGGCAGGAGACTCGCTTGAGCCCAGGAGTTGGAGGTTGCTGTGAGCGTGATGCCATGGCACTCTGCCCGGGGTGATAGCTTGAGGCTCTGTCTCAAAAAAAAAAAAAAGTTCTCTGTAATTTTACCATAAACAAACACAGCTGAACAAACTAGGGGGCAATTTTGCAATAGATCACAGATAAAAGGAATTATCTTTTTTTCTTTTGAAACAAGATCTTGTTCTGTTATCCAGGCTAGAGCTCAGCTCACTGCAACTTCAAACTCCTCACCTCAAGCGATGTTCCTGTCTTAGCTTCCTAAGTAACTGGGTCTATAGGCACATACCACCACATCTGGCTAATTTTTCTATTTTTTGTAGAAACCGGGTATCTCTCTTGCTCAGACTGGTCTCAGACTTCTGGCCTCAAGGGATCCTCCTGCCTCAGCCTCCCAAAGTGCTAGGATTACAAGAGTGATCCACTGCCCCTGGCAGAAATTATCCTTAATATATAAAGGACTCTGAAACATTGAGAAATGAAGACTTGTGCACCATAATTAATTCTGCCACACTCTTCCAAATAATTGAAGAGCTCCTAACCCATTCTAGGAGGGTAGCTTTACTTCATACTAAAGCCAAAAGACACAACAAGGCTTGGTGCCTGTAGCTCAGTGACCAAAGGCACTAGCCACATACACCGGAGCTGGCAGGTTCAAATCCAACCTGGGCTGCCAAACAACAATGACAACTACAACCAAAAAATAGCTGGGCATTGTGGAGAGTGCCTGTAGTCCCAGCTACTTGGGAGGCTGAGGCAAGAGAATTGCTTAAGCCTAAGAGTTGGAGGTTGTCACTCACCAAGGGTGACAAAGTGAGACTTTGTCTCAAAAAAAAAAAAAAAGACACAAGAAAAAAAATCTATACACTAATATCCTTTATGAATATTGATACAAAAATCCTCGACAAAATAGCAGCAAACTGAATTCAGCAGAATATTAAATTAAATGTATAATATGCCATAAGCAAGTGGGATTTATTCCCAGAATGCAAGACTGATTCAATATAAAAAATTAATTAGTATAATATATGACATAAGTGCTCGCTTCGGCAGCACATACACTAAAATTGGAACAATACAGAGAAGATTAGCATGGCCCCTACACAAGGATGACATGCAAATTCATGAAGTGTTCCATATTTTTAAAAAAATTAAAAAATAATAAAAAAAATACCATATAAATAGGTTGAAGGGAAAAGATAGTCATCTTTTTTTAAGGCTTTTAATGTATTTTAAGAAGTTGATGTGGCATTATTGCTCCATTTCTCAGAAAAACTCGAGATTTAAAGAATCAAGGACAAATCAAACATAACACCAATTTTAAAAAAATGCACAGCATAACTACCTACAATAAGCAAAGCTAAGAGCTACTGTGAGACCATCAGTGTACAGCAGCAACCCTGTTCCCAAGACTGTACTAGGCCTATCAAGAAAAGCTGTGAACGGCAAAATCATAGACACAAAAGGGCCATTCCCAGGGCACCGGCCCCATATGCCAAGAGTGGTGGGTTGAAACCCGGCCCCCGCCAAACTGCAACAAAAATATAGCCAGGCATTGTGGTGGGCACCTGTTGTCCCAGCTACTTGGGAGGGTGAGACAAGAGAATTGCCTAAGCCCAGGAATTGGAGATAGCTGTGAGCTGTGACACCACAGCACCCTACGGAGGGTGATAAAGTGAGACTCTGTCTCTACCAAAAAAGGGGGTCCATTTCTGGGTCATTACAAGGAAGTTAACCTTGTAACCTTGGAGGTTAACTTGCCTCCAAGACAAGGATGGAGGCAAGTTAACACATGATTTTTTTAAAGACATACTAAAATGAAAATCTCTAGAAGAAAATGTCTTCCTTAAAGACATGAGGGGTAATGGATGGGACATAACAGAACTGTGTGTACCTGTTCTGTGACCTCTGTGGACATGTACCTGAATTCTCCCTGAAAGTGAATGGGGCTAAGGTCATGGGGAATGTCCGGTTTTTGTGATGTTAGGTGGCAGTATCTTTGGGGTGGGGAGTGTAAGGATAAGAAAACAAAATGAGATGGACAAAAAAACGGAAGGATCAAGGTTCACGGGACTGTCATTGGATCCCTTTGCCATGGCTCCGCCAGGCCCTCAACAATGGCCTTTGAGACTCCAGGAATGCACCAAATAGAACTGATTGGTTAGACACGGTACAGGACTCATCTGTTAAATAGGCTCCTGCCTGGCACTCTGCCTCCAGCAACGCCCTGCAGGAGCACAGGCAGGGCAGACCCGACTATTGGGAGGAATCCCTAACACCCTTCCAGGGTAGAATTCTGACTCGACCCGAAAGGGTCCTTCTTCTAAGGGTTTTGAGAAACCAGACACTACAGCTTTATTAGTATCGAGGACATTCATTTGGAGCAAATTCAGCTCCAGGAGCTGCACAATGGATGCAGGAGGATTTCCACTGATTGCCCCAATTCCTTCCATTGTAGCAGCTTGGCCAAAGTGCTCGGTTGTTGGTGGCATCGATCCCAGGTTCCATCCGGCAACACGGTGGAGGTTCTAGAGTAGGGTGACCAGACGTCCCGCTTTTGGTGGGACAGTCCCAATTTTTAACAATTTGTTCCATGTCCCACAGCATTTTTAAAAAGTCCAGATTTTTGGAAAGAACCCAGGAACAGGCGGGAGAACAGTAAGGGAATATATGGTTTTCGGCTGCCATGTGGCTATTTTGCCAGGATATGAGTTTTATATTATTTTGGTTAATTTTATAATGTTAAACTGTAATAACAACAAATAATTGTTGAGAAGTGATTATCAAGAACTGCTTATCAAAGTTTGCATTGTTGTCAGGCTCCGCCGCCACCCCCACCCCCCAAACAGTGTCCCGCTTTACCAATGTTAAAATCTGGTCACCTTATTCTAGAGGAGCTGGGGTAGCAGCTGGCACAGGAGCAGA